TAAAAATTTCAGCTCAAAATATTCATTTTCGCTCGAGTTATCGAGTGGACAAGATTTGACCTCCCCCCACTTTTGAGCCCCACCCCTCAAAATCTTTTGCCTCAAATTTCAATTTTTTTTCGCAGAATAGTAGTTCTAATGAGTCTCTACTAAATGCAAAAAAATTGGTCAAAATATCTTTCAACGTAAGAAAGATATAACTACTGAAAAATCGAAAAATCTTAAAAAGGCGGAAATACATACATACATATATACATACATACATGTATACATACATATATATATACACACATGAATTTGAATGGCATATATTTTCGTGATCTACGACCCGTGATCGGTGCTCTTCACAATGTCTCAGGTCTGGATTCGACATCATGGGAGAATGCAATAGTGTATTTCCTTCGGAAAATACACTAAAAATGACATGCATGATTGCAGGTCCCCCGTTCAAATAGTTTACACCTCTGCAATGCCATGACGAAGTTTTTACTCCTCGTAGATCGGAAATGAGACAAAAATTCAAGGATTACAATAAATTCAAAATTAGGCGTTAAAAATAAATTTTCCCAAATATTTTATAGTTACTGCCAAAATAAGTAGACGGTTTCCGAATCGTAAAAAATTAAACGCAGATAGACTCAAAGCTGTCTGTCGTGCATAACATAGGAGTGCAACTGAGTTTTCTTCTTTTTCTTCCTCTGAACAAACGCTAGGAATTTTATGGTTAATCCCAATGCAATTGATAGCGCTGTGTTCACTTGTGACCATAGTTTTCCTCCAACATTTTTAGGAAAACCAAGGTTTTCCTTAAAAACGGGCTGTTTCGAGGAAATAGGCCCTAAGGCCGATCTGCCACTGGCAGATACGTTCCCCCGGCGCGGCGCGTCGAGTATGCGCGCCTGTGACGGATAGCAAAATAAAAGGAGAAAAAAAAGTTGTGACCAAAGCTTAGGTAAATCATGTCAAATTTCAAAAATAAGAGACATCTAAACGCGATACAACTATCCGTGCTAGATGGATGTCCATATTGCACATGAAAAATTTAAGGTTTTATGGTGTGAGTCGCCAGGCGTGAATTCGCAATGCTCTGCTCTATGCTGTTAGTCAGATCCGGGAGAAAAGTTAAATGAGGTCAGATTACGTTTTTCCTATCCTCGGCTGTGTTGCTCACGTAGCCCTTGAAGCACTACTACAAGTGAGACAAACGAAACCATAACACAATATGGAAATAGAGCAAGGGAAAGGATGTGCGTTGACGACGGCGTAGAGATACGAATATTCGTACTTGATGGATATCCGTATTGCATCTGCAAAATTGAAGGCGCAATGGCCCGAGGCGTGAATTCGCAATGCTCCGCTATATGCTGCCGGTGAGGTGTTGCTCAGATTCGGGAGAAAAGTTAAAAAAGGGGCTCGAATAGGTCTTTCCTGTCTTCGGCTGAGTTGATAAGCGATTTTTTTTCAGGTCCATGTCCGATTCTTTTTTGGAATGATTTGCAGACCAACATCTAAAGCTCGCGTGAACCGGCCCCATACAATCTGCGGGGCAGGTTTTGTTAGGAAGCCTCGAGTCGATTTGACCCGGCTTCAGCATTCAAGGATTTATGAAAATATCATTAAAATGACTGCATATACCTCGCAAGAAGTCAGGATTCAACATTGGATCCAAAAGAGGCCATTCAGTCTGTGAATTTCAATAAAATTTGGTAATGCAATCTCACAAAATTAGGCTCCAATTGTTCAGTCACGTCTGAAAATATTCTCATTTCCAATAAAATGGTTCCTGAATGGGACTTCCTGCTATAGACCTCTGATGCATTCAATTGATTTGTACCTATCTCTTTTTTTTACTTGCCTTACTGAACACATTGTTCTTAGCCAAACTTAACACTCTTTTTCCCCCTCTCTCTCTCCTTCAAAATTTTACATTGTACTCACTAGATTGCATGTTTCATTTTCCGATCGAGGAGGCTAAAAAGATCTTTCTAGCTGACATGTCTCTTGGGTTCATAATTTTCAGACTTATAGACATTAAAGCAATAATTTAATTCGCCAGCTCTGCCTCGGTTTCTCTAGAAATAACGGTGCTTGGATGCTGCTAGTAGCTGTGATTTGTTTTCTTTCTTTTTTCATTTCACAAGTCTATCCGTTACTTTTACACGTTCAATTTTGAAATTTTTCCTCTGTGCTATCAATCAATTTTGATCCTGAAAATAGCCTAAAATTGTGATGATTTTCCAAACTTTTCTGGGGCCCCCTCCGCGGAGAGGGGCAATCCCCCGGGAAATATGAGGGGCGTTCAATAAGTAAGTATCCCCCTTCCCTAAAATCAAAAGGAATGGACCAATTTTCAAAAACTTGGGCTCAAAATCTTCCTTAGGATATACTGAGTTCAACAAATTAAACCGCAACAAAATCGGACTATGTGCGGCCGAACGCGAGCCGTTTGAACGCGCCGAGGTGCTCGACGCTCCCGCCGAATCCGAGGGGATTTGAAGTCCGCGACAGGAGAAGAGCTTCTCTGCCAAAGCCTCAGTCGTTCATCACTGACAAAAAATCAGAGAAGTTTTTGTAGAATAAGTGGCTTACTTCACCTCTCCATGTGATATACTTGCACGACATGGCAACAGTATGTGGACGAGTAGGCGGGGGTCATAGGCAGTTAGACCAGCAGGAAGCCAACTTGTACTTGTACCTCGATCTTGACATCTCGTTATCAATAAAGCATGTTTGTCCCGTGAACCCGTGTGTTATACTTCATTACATGGCGCAGTCGGATATCGCTAGCATCAACATAGTGCGACTAGAATTAAATCCAGGTAGCAATCCCGTATTCAGTGAACTCTCGCAACCAAAGCCAATTACCTAACCTCACTCTTGATCAACAAGCCTCTCGTGCGCCCATACCTCGTGTATTAGTGAAATTCATACTGAATGATACGGCTTTGTGTCAAATCTTGTTTGTTTGTGACTCTTGTTCAGTACGTCTTGTTCGCGTGAAAATCTCTCTAGTGTGTGAACCCAAACCGACACCAACAGACTTACTCCCGCGTCTCAGGAACCATGGCAGTGGCCTACAACATCCCGGCGAAATTATCCCTCGATGGGAATCTTAGTGAAAATTGGAAGACCTTCAAGGAAGCCTTTAGGATATACCTAATTGCATCTGGGCCAGATGAAAAGAATGATTCCAGGAAAATCGCAATATTCCTCAACTTCATAGGCGAAGAAGCCCTACGGGTTCATGAGACCATCAAGAAAGAAACAGATACAAAACTTGCAGAGGTCCTCCAGACATGGCAAGAGTACTGCAACCCTAAGAAAAACACTCTGCACTCTCGCTTCCTTTTCTATTCTCGCAACCAAAAAGAAGGGGAATCCTTCAATTCATTCCACACAGACTTGAAAACACTGCTGATGGACTGTGCCTTCGATGATTCTAATAGCATGTTGCGTGATAGACTAGTACTTGGTTCAAATGACAAAGACATTAAAACCAAGTTAATCAAGAAAGGGGATCCATCCCTGAGTGACGTGGTAACAACCCTACGAGCAGCTGAACTTGCAGGTACCCAGGTCAGAGAGATCATATCACAGTCAACAACCGATGTCTCCACAGTTGACTCAGTTAAAACCTCGTACCAACCTGAGCAAGAAACCTGCAAGAAGTGTGGCTACAAACACAGGACCCCAGACTATTGTCCAGCCAACAACAAAACATGTGCCAAATGTCAAGGCCGAAATCATTTTGCCAAGGTATGCCGCTCGAAACAATCGAAGTATCAACCAGAAAGACCATCAAAGAAACAACCAAAAAAAGTGGACGAGGCCTGCATGAACTCTAGTGATGAAGATTCTGAAGAATACTTTTGTGGTTCAGTCACCCATGAAGCACCGCCCGAAGTCACCCGATCACAAGCATGGATGCAAACAGCAACCCTAGAAGACAGGATGCAAGTCAACTTCAAACTTGATCCGGGAGCAGACATCAACATTCTTCCAGTGCCATTGTACTCTCAACTGAAAGAACTCGCTCCGCTAACATTGCGCTGGTCCCCGTCGCGGGTACAAAGCTGGAACGGCTCCCAGACCCAAGTGAAAGGAACAGTAATCCTAAAGATTAAAATTGGCAACCGTGCCTCAGAAGAAAAATTTTATGTTGCAGGTAATGAACAATCAATTCCAATTCTGTCTAGGGACACCTGTACCAAATTTCAACTAGTTAAGCGCTTATCTGTAGATGAAATTATTTCCAATGAGTCAAAAGACCCACAATCAATCTTAAATTCCCAACTGCTAAAAGAAAAGGAAGCTATTATTTCAGAATTCAAAGATAGATTTCAGGGCGTAGGTAGAATTAATAAAGAATACTCAATCAAACTTAAGCCCAACTCACTCCCCTCCTCATATCCACCCCACAGAGTACCATTAAAAGTGCGACCCAAACTAGAAGAAGAACTGAATAGACTCCTGTCATTCGGAATAATTAGTAAAGTAGACAACCCGAATTCCTGGGTGAATAGGCTGGTAACCGTAGAAAAACCCAATGGAGATCTGAGAATATGCTTCGACCCAAAAGACCTTAATGAAGCAATTGTTAAAGAATATTGTTTAATACCCACTCTAGATGACTTTTCGTGTAAACTTAAAAGTGCAAAAATTTTTTGTGTTCTGGACCTCAAAGATTCATTCTGGCACATCCCACTAGATGAAGCCAGCTCAAATTTATGCACCTTCTCAACAATGTTTGGAACGTACAAGTTTTTAAGGCTCCCTTTTGGAGTAAATGTTGCCTCAGAAGTCTGTCAAAAATGCAATAATGAGATATTCGGAGGGATAGAAAACGTGTTAATATGTATTGACGACATACTGATCTATGACACCTCAAAGGAAAAGGCCAAACAAACCCTGTTGAAAATCTTAAAAACAGCCCGAGAGCATGACATCAGATTCAATGTAAAAAAGTTCTAATACATGGTCGAGAGAGTGCATTACTGGGGTCAGGTATTTAGAAACGGCACTGTTCAGCCGGATGATGAATCAGTTCAAGCAATTCTTGACTACGACATGCCCTCTAGTAAAAAAGACCTGCAGCGCTTTTTAGGAATGATTAACTATTTAAGAGCATACATTCCCAACGTGGCAGAAATAACTGCTCCCCTCAGAGAACTGCTGAAAAAAGAAGTAATTTTTACATGGTTAAATGTTCACTCAGAAACAGTCAATAAACTCAAACAAATCATCATTAATCACCCAGTCCTTCAAACGTTTGATCCTGACAAACAAATAGTGATACAGGCAGACGCCAGCAAAAATGGAACAGGTTGTGTCCTCATGCAACAAGGGAAACCAGTTAGTTATGCTTCTAAAGCCCTATCCAGCACTGAAATTAGATACAGCCAAATAGAGAAGGAATTTTTATCAGTCTTGTATGCTTGTAAACGCTTTCACTCATTCATCTATGGTCAGAAAATCATTGTTCACACTGACCACAAGCCAATCGTGAAAGTAATGAAAAAAGACATCATAAGAATTCCATCCATTAGACTCCAAAGAATTAGGCTGAAATTAACCATCTATGACATGGATGTGCGATTCCTCCAAGGTTCAAAAATGCATATCGCAGACGCTCTCAGTGGAGCATGTTCAACCCGCTCCCCTCATATAGACACAGACCCATCCTTAAATGAAATTGTGCACTCTTTGAACGTATCAGATGATCTTAGAATTCAACTCCAGAATGAATCTGACAAAGACCCAGCTCTGGTCTCCTTGAAAATTCTAATTATAAATGGATGGCCGAGTTCAGAAACGAAAGTTCCAATCCCCTTAAAATTATTTTATCAATACAGAAATGTCCTCTCCATACCCAAGTAGCATTTTGCAACGAAAAAATTGCAATTTAAATGAAATAAAATTTCCAGATGATTTCAACTTTCTTGCAAGAAAATTGCAATTATTTTACAACATCTGACCCCCTCATTGTAAAAAAGTTGCAATTTTTTTTTGCAAAGAAATTTCAATATTGACGACCTTTAAATTTCAACCCCTAAACTTTCCGGGGAAATTATAATAATTCGAACCCATGCTTACCTAATGTCCTACGACGTTTAGCAGCATAAAATACCGGACGCCCTTGAGTGGGCTTGAACCCGACCCGCGAATGTCATAGCGGAGCACTCTTCCACTGAGCTACAGGGAGCTGATGATGAGCTGGGTTGAAATCACGCCTGTTAAGGCTGTTATCGCATGCATTGCGTCAGTGCGTGGCTCAACATTCATCATAGATTTGATTAACGCCGTTTTTCTCAGGCTTCTTTCTTTTGCCTATTATTTATTTTTTTTCGTGTTATTTATTTTTTTCATATTTTTTTTGTCTGATTTTTTTTTTCGATATCACGTAATAGGTACTCACACTAAATTTACACCGGTGTAAATTACACCACATACTAACTTGAGAACTTAAAAATATTTTCAAAAAATATTTTTAAAATATTTTCAAAACTTTCTTAAGGAATATTTTTAACATGCATGTTTACAGGCAATATTTTTGAATTATTTTAAAAATATTTTTTGTAAACATTTTCAAAATATTCCTTTAAAATGTTTTAAAAATATTTTGAAAATATTTTAATTACAATATTGCCATGAAAATATTTTGATAAAGGTGACAATATTTTCAAAATATGTTGGGCTATATGGGTTAGGTGAGACATTTAAGTCGAAAAAACTTTAAAACAACTAGAGAATTGGATGCCAGGCACATGGCGTGAATTTGTTACAACATGATTGCACCGAAATTGCAGTCTTTATAGTGCCTTGAAAAAGAAGGTTAGGCAACAAGCATAATCTACATTTCTTGCAAACTTATTGCAATAAAATTGCAACTTTTTAAGCGCCTTCAAATGAACGTATAGGCAACAAGCAAAAATTGCAATCAACTCACAATCCATTGCAATGAAATTGCAATCCATGCTACTTGGGTAGAGGAATCGCTCATATTTCTAGACAATAGACTAGTGGTCCCAGAGTCCATGCGCAAAACAATACTAGAAAAACTTCAAGAGTCCCATGTTGGTATAACCAAAACAAAAGCTACGGCAAGATACCTTTTCTACTGGCCAAAAATGAATACTGACATAGAACTGTATGTATCTAGTTGTAAGACATGCCAAAAATTTGCCAAAAACAATGTAAAAGAACCAATGATTGTTGGACAACAGCCATCTCGTCCATTTCAATATGTTGCCAGTGATCTTCTCAACTACGGAAACAAAGACTACCTAGTTCTAGTAGATATGTACTCCAAATGGATTGAGTTAGTAAAGCTCCCCTCGAAGACAGCCTCTGCAGTCATCGCAGAACTTCAAAAGATTTTCTCTGTGCATGGCATCCCTGTCAAGGTATTTGCGGACAATAATCCCTATAACTCCCCAGAATTCAAACTTTTTGCCAAATCCTGGGGATTTGGGCCTGTATATTCCTCTCCTAATTACCATCAGAGCAACGGATTAGCCGAAAAAGCTGTAGGAATCTGCAAAAATCTCCTCAAAAAATGTGATGACACAAACTCAGACATCAACCTAATGCTTCTAGAATACCGAAATACGCCCGTCTCAGGAACACCCCATTCTCCAGCTCAGCTTTTGTTCAGTTGCCTTTGCAAAACTTCTCTTCCAATAAAAGATGAGCTCCTAGAACCCACACTTACTCCAAACCATCCCACTACCCTAGCCCACAAGGCTGAAAATGCCAAATCATATTATGATGAGCATGCAAAAGACTCAAATCACACTTTCTACCCTTCGCAATCAATACTTTTTAAAGAAAATCTATCCAAGGGCACTCAGTGGAAGCCAGCCAAAATTGTCAGTGCGACAAGCAATCCCCGTTCATTCGTAATCCAAGATGAAAAAGGGAGACAAAAAATCAGAAATACGCGTTTCCTAAAACCCATCCCTCAAGAACACAAAAAGCTCCCCCCCCTCTTCCCCTCCCCTCCCAAAGAGGCCCTATTGGGTAAGCAGATCAAAAGAAATTGAAGGGAAGTCAATTCTGGAGGATGACTCGGAGGCTGCTTTCAATCAACCCCCACGATCAAGACCTCAACGAAACCTAAAGCCCCCAAAATACTTGTCAGATTATGTCACCCCATAGAGAGGAAGGTGTGAGATACTTGCACGACATGGCAACAGTATGTGGACGAGTAGGCGGGGGTAGGCAGTTAGACCAGCAGGAAGCCAACTTGTACTTGTACCTCGATCTTGACATCTCGTTATCAATAAAGCATGTATGTCCCGTGAACCCGTGTGTTATACTTCATTACACTCCACATAACCAGCTCGATCCAAGCAGGTCTGATACTGATTGTGAGACTAGGAGAACAGCTTTTGGAGACCGCGCGTGTAGAGGTCTTTCAACTGGCTGGGGATGAAAGTGTTGACGGCTTGTTTGACTTCCTCCACTGATTCAAAATTAACTCCCTCGAGTTCAGACTTCAGGTACGATAATAAATGGCAAACCAGATCACCAATCACTATCGTATTTGAAATCTGAACTCGGGGGAGTTAATTTTGAATCAGTGGAAGAGGTCAAACAAGCCGTCCACTCTTTCATCCCCGGTCAGCTGAAAGACTTCTACGCGCATGGTCTCCAAAAGTTGTTCTCTTAGTCTCACAATCAGTATCAGACCTGCTTGGATCGAGCTGGTTATGTGGAGAGGTGCAGTAAGCCCCTTATTCTACAAAAACTTCTTTGATTTTTTGCCAGTGATGAACGACTGAGGCTTTGGCAGAGAAGCTCGTCTCCTGTCGCGGACTTCAAATCCCCTCGGATTCGGCGGGAGCGTCGAGCACCTCGGCGCGTTCAAACGGCTCGCGTTCGGCCGCACATAGTCCGATTTTGTTGCGGTTTGATTTGTTGAACTCAGTATATCCTAAGGAAGATTTTGAGCCCAAGTTTTTGAAAATTGGTCCATTCCTTTTGATTTTAGGGAGGGGGATACTTACTTATTGAACGCCCCTCGTATAATACTCGTTATCAGAAAAAGGGTGGCATATTTTTTAGACATGCGGTATGCGAAATATGTCTGGCTAAGTATCTTTTATGGCGTCATTTCCGTAACCCTGAGAAATAAAAATATATTTATCGAAAGAAAAAAAAATATTTCTCAAGAAAAAAAAATATATGTAGAAATTATTTTTCACCCGTAGAAATATTCCTGCTACTTCGAATTTTTTTTTTTGCTTTGGAGAAATATTTTTTTTATCTCAGAAAAAAAATTCGCCGTAGAAATATTTTCACCGCTCCTGACAAAAAAAAATCTCGAGAGAAAAATATATTTCTCAGGAAAAAAATATATCTCTGAAAAAAATTATTTCTCAGAAAGAAATATATTTCTCAGGAAATTAAATATTTCTCAGAAAAAAAATATATTTCTGCAGAAATAAAAATATATTTATCGAAAGAAAAAAAAATATTTCTCAAGAAAAAAAAATATATATATATCTCTATGTATATGATTTCGACAAGGAACGTGGGATGTGGATCGATGGGTGGATCGTGGGATGTGGCGCGAAGTGGCGCGAAGAGTTGAATCTTTCGCGGGAAACTTCCGGCCGGACGTAATAATTGCGGAATAAAACGTCCGCGTTTATTCCGGGGAAATTAGGATTTTTTCAGCGATTGCATGTCCATCCGGGCAAATTATTTTCTCATAACCAGTGCGATGAAGCCAAAAGACACCATTACATATTCTTTCAAGCAAGGATAACTAGGAAATAAAACAAGCAGTAAGCTCCAACGCATTCGCGTCGGAAAGCGGCTCTGGCGACGGTAGTTGTAGTCAAGAATGAGGGCCTAGACACATTTTGTCATTGATGTACAACCCGACAACTGTCGATTCATGTTTTGTAACTTAGCACATTTACAAAGCCGGTGTATAAATGTGTATTGGCCCTTGATATGCAGAA